TATTTGGAATTATGTGGTTATGGAATAACTAACTTACCTGATATAGATTGGAGAACAAGTGCTACTAACAAAAGTAGGACCCAGATTTTCCTGGATGTTATAGTCAGGGCCATCATTAGGCATACAGAGAGTACGCAGTTGTGTAAGGGACCACTAAATTTGGGGCACTACTATGCCCCAAATTAAATAGTACCCTATGCTGCATATGGCTGAGGGCAGCATTGGCTTAAGCAGCCCCAAACCTCCCACCCCCTTCTCTGCCTATTGGCCCAGGAGGCCAATCCCGTGGCCCTTGTTCTGACTCCTGTCCCTGGCAGCCCATTCATCCATCCCTCAGCACCTACTCCACTTCATGGCCCCAATGGCCCAATCCTCTGGCCCCTGCTCTGCCTCCCAGCCCTGATAGCCCAGCCCCTCTGCCCCCCATTCTGCCTCCCAGCCCTGGTAGCCGAATCCCCAAACTCCCTGCTTCATTTCCCAGCCACAGCAGCTGAATCTCCAGCCTCCTGTTCTGCCTTCCAGCCCCAGCTGAAAGGTGAACTATCAAGCTGGAAGAAGGGTGCTAGTGAAGTTCCTCATGAATTGGTCTTGGGACCAATCTTATTTAACAATTTTATTAATGGGTCTGTGCTAATGTATTTTGTGGAAGACACATAATTGGGATGTATTGTCAATATAGAAGAGGGCTGGAATATCATACAAGAAGAACTGGATCATCTTGAGAACTTGAGTAATAAATTAGATAAAATTTTAATAGTGCAAAGCGTAAGTCATGCTCTTATATAGCAACAGCGAGAACTTTTTCTACAAGTTGAAGACTTATCAGTTGAAGACAACAGAGGAAAAAACCCTGGATATAAACCCTGGATATATGGTTTAATTCTGGTATGACATAGGCTACCAATATGATGTGGCCATGAAAAAGGCTAATGAAGTCTTAGGATGCATCAGATCAGATAATTCCAGTAGAGAAGAGAACCACTATACAAGGTACTGGTGAGATGTCATCTAGAATTCTGGTCTCCCATGTTAAGTAAGATTAATTCAAAATGGAACAGGTGCACCGAAGGGCTAGCAGGATGATTTGAGGAATGGAAAACCTACCTAATGAGAAGAAATTCAAAGAGCTTGAATCATTTAGCTTAATCAAAAGAATGCTAAGGGGAGATATGATTGTTCTCTATTAACACATCAGAGGTATAAATGCCAGGGAGGGAGAGGAATTATTTAAGCGGACTTAAGAGGAGGGATGTTACATTTCTATAAGAGGGGAGGGGGGGGGCACTCGCTATCCCAGCTGCGCCTCTGCCTTTGAAATGTAGCAAGAGCCACTGGAAGCTCTTGCTACATTCAAAAACAGAGGCGCAGTTACTGGGATCTGGGCACGAGCTGGGTCAGCTGATTGCTGGCTCGTGCCCGGTCTCCTGCTGCCCCCCACCAAAGACGGTGCTGGGGGGCCTCTCCTGCCCCTCACCAAAGACAGTGCTGGGGGGACCAGCTTTTAAGCTGGTCCCCCTAGCACCTGCTCCTGCTCCCCCCTTGCTGCCTCTAGGGAAGCAAATAGTTGCGTAGTGACTCAACTACCTGATAAGCATATGCTTATTGGGTAGTCGACTACTTGACTAGTTGCTTAATCACTACTCAAGAACAAATGGATGACAAGTTTAGGTTAGAAATTAGATGATTTCTAACCACTGAAGAAGTTTCAGGACAGTTTTCCAAAGCAGCCAGTGGGGGTGGGGGGGCAAAAAACCTAACTGGTTTCAAGACTGAGCTTGATATGTTTATGGAGGGGATGATATGAGGAGACTGCCTACACTGGAATACCCAATAACTGGTGATGAGATGCTAGATGGGGAAGACTCTAAGTTACTACAGAGAATTCTTTCCCAGATGTCTGGGTAGTAGGTCTTGTTCATGTGCTCTGGGGTCTAATTGATCACCATATTTGGGGTCAGAAAGGAATTTTCCCTTGAGTCAGGATTGGCAGAGACCCTGGTGGCTTCTTTTGCTTTCCTCAAAGGCATAGGGAATGAGTGACATACAGGTTTAAATCAGTGTAAATGGTGCATTCTCTGTAACATGATTTAAGGGCTTCACTAATTCTTGGGGAAAACTCCACACATTTCATCCCCCAGTAAAAGAGAGGTTTTCTGTGGTTAGAGAGAGCAGCCCTATAATCGCAAAGATGTCCCTTTTTATTATTATCATGCTTATTACAGAAATCCCTAAAGGTCAAATAAAAAGACCTAATGTACAAGACAATGAACAAACACAGAGCAATAGATAGACCCTGCCTCAAAGAGTTTACAATCCAAATAGACAAGACTGATACAAGATCAGGGAAGAGGTATAGCAAAGAGTGAACAACGTGATGGCAGCAAACAACATGTTAATTCCACAATTTTGGGGGACACTGAAGAAAAGATGGAGATGGATAGGGGTAAGTGAAGGGACAGGAGTGCAGTGAAACTAAGATGTAAAGATTAAAAGAGGGGGAAGTTTGGAGCAAACAGCCAATCAGCACAGGCAAGCCAAAATCTAGTCAAAATCTATAGAAATTCTCTTAATAGTCAAAGGTCTTTGCTTTGGCTGCTCCAGTTCCTACCAACTGGACTCTCTGCTGACTTTTCACTTAGGGCTGCCAACTTTCTAATTGCACCAAACACCCTTTGCTTATCCCTTCCGCTACATTTACCTATCCATTCCCACTCACTCCACCCACCTCCCTCTGTCGCTTGTTCTTCCTCACCCTCATGAACTCATTTTCACTGGGATGGGGTAAGGGGTTGGGTTGTAGGAGGGGGGTGGGCTCCAGCAATGGGTGCAGGCAGGGGCTTTGGGCCAGGACAAAGGATTGAGATGTGGGAGGGGATGAGGGCTTTAAGATGGAGCCAGATTTGGGGCACAAGAGGGGCTGAGGGGTTCAGATTGCAGGCAGGGATATAGTGCTGGAGCAGGGCATTGGGATGTGGGAAGGGTTGAGAGGTGTGGGTTCCATCTGGGTGATGTTTACCTCATGCAGCTCTCAGAAGTAGCTAGCATGTCTAGCTCCTAAGCAGAGGGGCCAGAGGTGTCTGAGCACTGCCTGCACCCACAGGCACCACTCCTTCAGCTCCTTCCAAACCCATGGGAACTACAAGGCAGGTGCTCAGGGCAGGGAATGCAGAGCCCCCATAGCTGCCTCTCTGCCTGGGAGCCAGACATGCCTGCCAGGGCAGGTAGGAAACCTGATTAGCTCTGCTGACTGGACTTTTGGCATACTGGTCAGTGGTCCAGACTGGAGCTGCCGGGGTCCCTTTTCAACTTGGCATTCCAGACAAAAACTTATTCTCTCTACAGTTTCCTCCCTCAAATCCACATGGTGTGGAGGGAGGGGATGGGAGAAAGGTGCAACCTGGGTCCTAGTTCACCCAGAACATGTGGGGGCCACTTCTGCACAGTTCTAACCCCCTACCCTTTCCTCCTAGCGCAGCAGTTCCTGGAGAAATCCACCACCTTGGGGCCTTCACTTAAGGGTTAAGTCTTCACTGCAGATTTATCTTGGCCTCTCATCTTGCCTCAGCCCTCTCCCATCCACACACAAAACCCTCTCCCCTCAATGTTAGTGGTGCTTTCGTCCCAGGCTAGCCCGCTTGCATGGGGCTAGAGGTTAAAACCTAAGTGAGGCCTTCACTCACTCTGGCAACCCGCCTACTTTGCAGCAAGAATATAGGCTAAATCACTGGAAAGCTGACAGCTCTTTAGTACCTTAATAACTCCACCCATTCCTACACGCACAGGCAAGTTCTCTCACAATTTACTGAGCAAGAACCATACAGCAGCTCAGTTTACTACAGCACAAAAGGACAATGGAAAATGATCCCAGAAGTCCTAGCAGCACACACAGAAGAGTGCAGCACCAGTGAGATGCTGATAACTTGGATATGGCTTTGCTCACACACAGCTTAGGTTAACTCCATTGCTTAAAGTAGCACCAAGCACTCACCACCTAGATTAAGTGCAGGATAGACATTAACACAAGAGGGTTAGAATTTGCATCTCTGCATCTCTCTCTAGGCTCTCTCTCCCCCAGCAGCATGGCTCTTGCATGCTGCAACTGATTTCCTATGTGTTTTCCACCAATATTATAGACGGCAGAGTGTTAATGCAGCAAGAATATGTGATAGAAATTCTCTGGCCTTGCCAAAAGATAATACCATGTTGATCAGTTCCTCCTTCACAACCAGCCTCTCCCCTTCCCAAATCCTTAGAGCTGTAATTGGGGAATGTCCTTGAAAAGATGTTTCCAAAGGCTTAGAGGAAGAGAACCCAGTCAGATTGGCTCTGCTTCACTCCTTGTGACATAATAGGGACACAAACAGGTGTGCTGACACACTCACCAGGCCCCTGGGCAAGGTGGTGGTGGTGGGGAAACTGACCTCGTGTTCCTGGAAGGGGAGGGGCCCCAGGCAGAAGGGGCAGGGCAGTCAGGCTTTGGCACCGCCTGGAGTCCACTGCCTGAGGCTCTGGTGGTGATTTAAAGGGCTCCGGCCACTGCAGCAGCAGCTGGGAGGCCCGGGGCCCCTTTGAATCTCTGAGCCCTGGAGCAGTTGCCCCCTTCGCCCTTCCTGTCAGTGGGCCATGTGCACAAATGTTGTGACATTTCTGCTACCCTTCATTCTTCTCACAAAATACAACAGAACATGTAAAGCCAAGCTCTAACCTCTGGATAAAAGGGCTCTCTATAATTGCACCGGGAGTGCTAACAGACCTTCAACTGTAGCAGTAACCACCTCCCAAACAGCCACACTGTTCTCCTTAAAGTCTTAAAACAGCTGGAATAACTTACAGAAACCAGCACTCCATTTCATGCAGCGACAAGTTTGTGGCGATGAGCACAGCCATTCTGATAACCCCTCAAGCAGAATTCTCCCCGCCCCCAACTCTCACTATTCAACAGAGAAATAAAGTCACCCGTTCGGTTTAATTGAGAATAACTGTATGCACTTTGCTTTTACCTTCTGTGCTGGGTTTTTTCATTTCTTCCACCCTAATTAGTTTCTTTTTGACTCTGCGAGTAGAGTTAACCAGCTTGTGCAATCTCTTAAACTTCACCGACTCCTCTGTCTCATCATCCGATTGTTCTCTTGACTGGCAAAGAAACAAAGGGAATGTTAATAAAGTAATTGTTCCATGGCTTGCTCCTTGAAGTCAAGTTAACCCAACCCAGCTGCTACTCTGTGTCAAGGCAGCTCTAACTGGGGTTATATTTTCAGTCCACGTCAGAGAAAAGCATTTAAATTATTGACAGGTTTCAAAGTGCATAGCATACCATTTTGACTTCTAATTCTGTGCAACGGGAGGTCCTAAGAGCACTGAAATACATTGCTGCCCTTGTTTTCCTTTTCACGCATTGTGTAATAACTACTTCCACATCTTCTTTCAATGCACTGCAGGCAGGGCTCTTCTTACCATACCAGTTACGCTCCTGTGGTTTGGGTCAGGCACTGGTCTGTCTGGCCTGCTGGAACTTGCCATTTAAACCTGGTTATAAACAGCTTCTCCAAACTGAAACTCTATTATTGACTTTTTCCAGTCTTCCCAGAAAATCAAAACCAGCAGTACAAGAAGGGGAAGGGAAGGAAGAGGCTTCATTCTGTCTTTTTCGTTAGTTAGACGCCGCTACAGCTACAAAATCCTCTTTTCTCCTCCTCCCCCTGCTCCACACTCCTTCTGAAAGCTCTCAAAGCTAGTCTTAAGATGGACACAGCATTCCTCCAACAATGACCAAGGGAAAACTCTGACCTTTTCAGATATACAGTATAGTCCATATTCCCCAACATCCCGTTTCATTTTGCATCTGATCCATTATGCTCAGTTCCAGCTGTTTTCCCTCAAGTATCAAACATTACAGAGGCAAAAAAAAATTCACTCGCTTCAGCAGCAGTGACACAACAAGCTGAAACAATTTATTCCTTGTAAATGAAATGAGGGTTCCAATTTTTGAGACAGATCCAACGTTCAATATGCTACTTCCTCTGTTTTAATCTATTTAGAATGTAAAAAGGGGGAGAGAGGGGACGAAAGCTTTCCAGTTCTTACAGTACAGGACTGGCACTGTATACAGTGCATTCCAGAAAGCACTGCCAATTCCAGCTGGAGTGCTGCACAGATTGTATACCTTACTTTGTCTGTGAGCACAATCCCAGCCAATTCAACACATTTTAAGGTCCAACTCAAAAATCTTAATGCTTCTTCATCCCAATGTTTGTTAGGTCACCAGAGCTTTTATGTCAGACTGCTTCATTATCTTCTCATCAAAATACCCTAAGCCTATTTAAAGGCTGGCAAAATAGGCGAGCTTACAGCCTTTTAAAATATCCACAGAAGTCAGAACGAAGTAACACCATATACCACAGGATAGGATGTCAAAACAGCAAACACACAGGGGTATATTTTCGAAGTAAAAAATGGCACCGAGATACCCTCTTATTGAACGTTAATGTGAATTAGGCACAGCTTTGAAAATATATCCCTCACTGGGCCAAATTTTCCACTGGTGCAATTCCTCTGAAGTCAGTGGTGGAGTTATGCCAGCAGAGCATTTGACCCAAGTTCTTTAGTTTATTTGATTAAAACAAAATTCACATTATTCTCAAATAAAAAGTACTAGATGGTTTGTTGGTCACATGCAATTTCAGAGTTGCTAAACACAAGAATTCCCAAATATCCAGGGGGCACATCTATCATATGGACCAGCATGGTTACCCAGAGCTAAAGATTATTATTATATCACAATAAAGTAGGATAGCAGCAGACTGATTTAAATCAAGATAAATATGTTGCTAGAGATCAGAATAGTTGACATGAGCCAGTGATGTTTACAACAAATATATCTTACCATACATCTTTGGATTGGATGAGCAAAAGAAAATGGGGCTTTAGCAAAAGAGATATAAGCAGGACTTTCTATTATATTATTTATATCTTGGCACGCAATCGTCACTCAAACGCTCCATATGAGAGAACACTTAGAACAAAATGAGACGGGCAGAGTTTTAAATGCAATGGATTTTAAAGTTTCCCCACTATATATTTTCCAGTATCACCAATTCTCTTCGTATGCTCTTGCTTATAAGACCGCAACTCACATAAATCATAAGCTCAGTAAGATTCAGCGGCCTTCCGAGAAACGACCCTTCCTGTGCATTCGCTGAGAAAATAAAAAATGCTGAGGTAGGAAATAACATGCCTCGTAAATATCAATAGGTCTAATAAAGAACTGTCATTTCATTGTTTAGTCTGATGATTGTGGATTTGATAGATAAATCTGAAATTTCTGAAATGTCTAGCAAATGCATATTTTCTTAATTTTTCTTATTACTGGATTTTATTAACACTCTCAGGCATGGTATAAACAAACTTAACCGAAGATTTGGTTCCTGCTTTCAGAAGTATACACTCCAAAATAGATTCAATATGGAAGTAAAAACTGGAAAGTTCTCTGAGAGATCTACAGTGTCTCCTGCAGGTTCAGACCCCTCCATCTCTTTTCCACTGAACCAAGGTTCTTTATATTGATAATGAGGTGATACTTCACAGCTCTCCCTTTTAGGTGAAAAATCTGGCACCTACTAACATTTAACAAGGGGAACTACTGGATATTTATTTGATTAAAAATAACAGCAGATCAAAACATATATCTTTTTTTTTAGACTCTTTCTACCTTTATAGATTAGGCCTTACACATCCGCCATTACAAGTGGCAGTCACAAGAGCTGATCTGAATTTTTTTTCAGTTAAATGTTGGAAAATGCTGATTCTTTGAAACAAACTGTGGGAAAGGATAGGGTTTGACAAATGTCCCCATTTGAAAAGCAATTTTGAAAAAAGTTTTGAAACTGTCAAAACAGGATATTTTGGTATTTTCTAAACAAAAAGTTCCATATTTTGTTTGAAATGGCTCTTCATTTTGAAATGTAAGCTTATTTATAGTTTAAAAATGTGAAAAAATAAAAAAGGTCAAAATTAGAACCAAATGTGTCAAAATTATCAAAATAAAATGTTTTGATTTACTCGTTTCTCTTTTTTCTCTTTTTATGTTTTGTTTCACAACATTTTTAAATATTTCAACTTTTTATCCCACTTTGGGATGGGAAAAATGTTCAAAGTTTCAAAATTTCTTTCAGACTAGGCAAAAAATTTCCCACCCAGTTCCAGTAACCATTCTTCTGCAGGCTCTCTCAGTGTTGCTTGCGATCATCTTCTTAAGACTTTCAGTGTATTGTAACAATACAAAAGTACAGGTACAACCTCTGGATATACAGGGAAGACCTTTTCGAAGTGTTGCCTTGAGGTGAAACAATTTTATAGGCAATGAAGGAAATCTACATTACAATTAACGTTTACCTGGAGGGGAAAGGTCCCACAGAAATCATGCAGGGCACTTTATACCATTCAGCCTAGTAGGTGTCCCACTCAGAGGTCTGAGAGAGCTTACAGTGCAGTGAGTCCATAAAGATTTTATTGCTACATGTATAAGGCTATCCTGTTACATGAAATTTCAGCACAGCTAACCCTTTCTGTACAGCAAATAAGAGGCATATAATATGCATAATACCCTGAACTCTTAAGTAGCCTTATTAAGAGGTCTTCCTGAATATTCCAAAGGGAAACAAATGGATTTACAATACTGTAAATAGGAACAACCTCATTTCCATCCTTGCTGCTTCAAATTTTTTTCCATCCAAAAGTCCATATGGCTCAACTTTTAATTATTTTGGCTAATGCTGTATGTAGTAATTCTGTGGTGAATGCTCAAGTGTTTCATTTCTAGTTTCCATGGCAACATTACATCAGATTGCAGACAGCTGGCTCCACAGTTTTAAACCATAACAAATTGACCAAGCCAATACACAAAATGATACTTGCTTTAAAGAGACAGTGCACCATTCTATTTCCAGTGAAACAGAGCAAAGCCTATGGGGCCTATTTGGCACTTATGCTAAGGCGGAGTCTCCTTTCTCAGCATCTTTTGGAACAAGTGCATCTTTGACACATCTGCAATGTTCTAATAGGGAAGAAACTGGGCCAGTTTGGAGAACTCTATTGCACAACCGCACGAAGGGCTACAGGGAAACTGGAATTAAATTAACAGCATCTGTAAATACCAAGGACTGAGAACAGCAACAATCACACATTGAATGACTGGAAATATTTAACACCAAGCTGTTGCTGCAGCCTCAGCTCTTTCAACCAGTGCAAGGGTCACCATAATACTGTGAAAATATTCTTAACACACTAATTGTGCCATCACCTTTGCCATTCTTTATGCCCAGAATGTCCTCCTGGATTCTGTACCACATGCAACCACCTCCTCTTCCTCCAATAGCTATGCTCAAATCCCATGTTTCCTTAGTCCTTCAAACCCAAATCAGAACAATTTAAAACACAGTTTAAAAAGTAATCAGGGGACTAATATACCTCGTGCAACCTCATAACCTGCTCACCTCCACTCATCTTGCCTTTTTTTTCTTCCCCACCTTCAACTTAGTATGCAGGCATAAGGTTTTTATGTGTCTTATTCTATATATATGAAATATCTAGCCCACTTTAGGTAGAATATAAATAACAAGAGTGAACAAATCTAACTTCTCACTTGATTTAGAACTTCACAAAGAAAGTTATGAGTATTTGGAATTATTGGACAAATGTAAAACAGAAGTAGCTAACACTGTATTCTTGGGATCACTTCAGGGATTCAAAGGCATTCTTTGTAAAACACATAATGTACAATTGCTTACTAGCCCACTCCTAATAGAGCAAATATTTTTAAAATATTAGGGTTATATCCAGATAAAAGTCAGCTTGCTTGATTTATCTGCTTCAGCTCTGTAAACAAAAACATATATGGTGTTTTAGTCAAGCTGTATGAAGCCATTTGGAAAAATGTCAAACTTCTGATATTAATTTCACGCCCTAGTAAAAGATTATTCCTATATCGAAGCAGAAAATCTAACAAATCTCCAAATTTGAGCCCAACTTGCAATTGTGATTGGATAGTCAGACAATTTGAGGGGCAGATTTTGGAAAATATACAAGCTCTATTTATGGGCACATCATACATACCCATTTATTAATCATTCCAGAAC